GTCAGTTCCTTTTTGTAGCTCTAATACTATTGTTACTCAACGATCTCAATCATCTATATTTATTAACATTTTTTCTTTAATTACCGGTGCTGATTTACCATCACATAGACAACAGTATAAACCTGAATAGAGCAAGTTTCTTTTGAAATAACAATCATTGACATATATCTTTATTAAAAACAAAATAGTAAACACCGTCGATGAGTGGATAGGTTTCCTTCGATCTAATTCGATCCATTGAATCCTTTGGTGACTATGTGTATATTTTTAGCATCAAAGATTGCATTGATATTCCTACATATACAGTCCACGCATATTGAAAGTATACCCTTCGAGTTTTTGTGTTTTCATTGCCATAACACTTGTTTGTTTTTAAAATTATTATATACAGGGAGAAAGCCCGGAAACCTCTGCTTCTGATGGTATATTTATGTTAAACAACAGATACAGTTTGAAGTATAAAAAAGGTGTTTGAAAATATAGTAACATTTTTTTTCTTTTGCAAAATCCATTCACATTTATTATTTATTTCAGAAATCAGAGAGTAAGAATTTTTGGAATAACTATCGGTAGAAACAAGGTAGAGATCTGCAGTTTTCAACATTCAAAAGAGGAGATGAATCTGGATCGGATCCCATGTTTCAGATGTTCCTAATAACTTTTACCTGGGGCTTTAGCCAAGTTCTTTCAGATGTCGACGCTTCTAGAGACGAAAAAAAGAGGATTTTCCTCAAAGAATACGGAAAAAAGTCAATTTTTCAAAAGACTTAGCTAAAGCCTCCAGGTAAAAGTTATCAGGAACATCTGAAATATGGGATCCGATGCAGATTCATCTGCTCTTTCGAATGGTGGAAACCGCAGATCTCTATCTTGTTTCTACCGATAGTTATTCCAAAAATTCTTACTCTTTTTGATTTCTGAAATAAATAATAAATGTGAATGGATTTTGCAAAAGAAAAAAATGTTACTCTATTTTCAAACATCTTTTTTACACTTCAAACTGCATCTATTGTTTAACATAAATATACCATCAGAAGCAGCGGTTTTCGGACTTTCTTCCTATATATAATAATTTTTAAAAACAAACAAGTTATAGCAATGAAAACACAAAAATTCGAAGGGTATATTTTCAATGTGCGTGAACTGTTTATAATTTGATATAGAATTAGTTTTTACATATTGTATAATTTAAGAGAGCTAAATTTTAATAAAACGGCACCTAGATGTGCTTGTCATAGAGCAAACGTCGATTAAAATATATTGCATTTGGCACACGTATAAAAAAGAGTCGAGAAGAAAAAATGTTAGATTAATCATAATAGAAATTTCATTGTTTAATTTCTTCATTGTATTTTGTTGAATTTATAAACAAATCATTAATGGAATGGCTTTAACATCGACTAACTTTACCTTTTCTTACGCAAGTTTTTTTTCCATTTGATTTATCTATATTTACAAATGCTAGTTTTATAAAAGTTCATTTCACGTCAATATATATCTGGATTTATTTGACATATATGTCATTTTTCTAGAAGTGATCTTTCTCAGGTTGATTGGTACAATAAAATCATGGATTTTGAATCGTATCTGCTATTGAATAATCTTTCATCATCTATTCTTCATAAAAGAGTTTTTCGAAAAAAAACCAATAATCGGTTGTTGTGATCTTTCACAATTTAATGTCGATCTTATTGAAATGATTCGATACTCTCTTATACAAACATTCAATGAATTATTATATATTGTGATACAAACAAATATCGAAGCAAGTATTTTTCATGAGATTAATTTTTTCTTTTTAGCAATATAAAACAAATTAGAACGCATGATATCGATTTATAATATGCAAATTTAAATAATACGAATTGGATCCTTGCAATCTATTATTGATGTAATTTTGCTGAAGTAAATTTCTAAGAAAAAAAAAACATTAAATGAAGCTTACTTATTAAAATCTATATGCAAGGAAAGTCATGTCAATAATGAACAAGTAATTAGTGATGCATCATTAAATAGAAATACATTGTCAAATAGAACTAAAATATATGGAAATATTTCGAAAACAAAAAAACAAAAAACAACCGAATAGTCACGTTCAAATATACTTTTATTATTATTAATATAATTAAACACCTTTTTGGTCTAGATATATATTTTTTTTCTTGAATAGAAAAACTATAAGAAAAAAGAAAAATATTGAGATGAAATTAACGAATTCAAGTATCTCTTCTTCAATATCGACTCATTTCATTTCATTTCTATTGCTTGAAACGTGTGTTTGACACTAGAAAAAGTAATAGGAGAATTCAATGGTCTCATCTACATGTCATCCACTCATAGCCAACGTAGAAAATCTATATTGATCATGAGACATATGTTCTCTTCTTACAATATATAATATATTAGGGGGGCGGTCGTCGACAACAACTAATTAGTTATAATTACTCATAGAACTGGTGTGACTTTGATTCTATATTCACATCATATAGTCTTTTCTTTTTTTTTCGAGTAGATACATGTGCTACATCTTGACGCACACATATATAGCCGAGAGGCTCGATCCATATGTGAACTAAATTCACGGTTGAACATTGTGTTTGATCCTTAGAATATGAAGATTTCTTATAGTGTTCATTACACACTTATGTACGTACATGTGTGTCGTTCATTGAAAAAGGGAAAAAAAGACGCTTTTGAATCGGGTAAGGGCGGGCTAAGTGTGACAAATAAGCGAAGATAGTAATAAATATATCAATACGTAAACGACAATAGAATAGAGCAGTGAAGTGTGCGGTATATTTCATTGAAAAAGAACAGGTAAGAATTTAAAATAACAAATGGCAACACGTTTCTTTCGATTGTCAAGTGACCGATTATGAACACATCATAAATAGCAAACAATATTTATATTTTCAAACGGGAAAAAGAATCAATTTCACACGGTCATTCAAAGTTACTTCATAGAAACGGAACTAAGATTGATTTCCATTGAGATGTGTGTATACAAATCACTCACTGATGTTCACATACACACTTCATTATATATGTGTATTTGTTGATCTCAACATATATATATATATATATCTACATAAATGACGATAGATTTGAATGTTCTTATGTCATTCATTGTCTTAATAATTCTATCAAATGTGAGAATAACAAGAAAACAAGCTGTTCTCTCGGTCTCTCACTCGTCTTTTGAGTTCATCAGTCGCCTGCCATCGTTGACTAATCTAACATCAATCATTTGCGGTCCGTTGATCTTCAACTAGTTCGTTCTCCATGACATCATATTTTTTTTTCTTCATCTTATACATATATATTGCCTCTCAATTATTCATTCGTATTTCATTTTTCTCGTTTTACAATACCAGCACGTACTCATCCTCGTTTATTATTTTTTGTTAACCCAAAAAAAAAGAAACGATTTGAAGAACAAAAAAAAGTAGATACAATTATAATCCTTAATCACATGATATCATGTGGATGTGTTATTTCCCTTCTTTTTTTTTTATATTCGATAAAGAAGAAAATCAAACTTGATACTTCGCGTTTGTATTTTTTTTTTCTTTTCGATAAAAAATATCTCGATTTTAATTATTTTTTTTCTTTTTTTTTTTTTGACTTCAAAACAATCGTATGTACTTCAGAAAAAATCTTTTTTTTTTTTCTCTATTGAACATTTTATTGATGAGTGAAACAAAACAAAACAAAAAAAGAGAGAAAACGTTCACGACATCCGTTTCTTTCGAAAATGTATGCAGGTGATTTTCTCACAAACGAGCTACCAACTGTCCACTATCTTTTTCTCTCTATAATTGTCGCGCACGAGCACACACTTCACTCACGGAAATGGTTATGGACAGCTGTTCAATAATTTTCTCGTTTTAGATCGATACATTTATTATTTTAACAATGACCAAAATTGTTTCAAGGTAAGCCGTTTTCTTATTTCTATGTTGTTTAAACATAAATATATTAGCAAGTATTTTGTTGTGGTTTAATTTCTTTTTCTTTTTTGTTACACTTGATCATCATCATCTTGATTTAGTAAAGCCGTTTAGACCCGCTCGTGCTCTTATGTCTTTATGATAGATGAAGTGTGTTGCTTGTCCGGTCTCTCAAGCCATTTTCTCGCCATTGATAGAAGAAGCGACAGAGGCAGAGAGAGAGAGAGAATTTTTTCTCTCTTCTTCTCTTTTCGTCGGAAAAAGAGAATAGAGATAATCTTGCATACCTGAAAGAGAAAGAGAGAAATGTGCAGAGATTGGTTAACAGAATCTATTGGTGGGTGGATGATAGCGGAACTATTTCATCCATTGCATTGCATCGACGAACAGTCTTCGACATTCTCTCTCGCTTGCATCTATTCTCTCTCTGCTGTATATGTTTATTCAGCAGTGTACATATACATAGTACAGTAGCACTACTAAAAATATTAGAAATCATCAAAAGAAGTACGAAGATAATCTTTTCTCTTATTCAGATATATCTATCCTTTAACACCTTTATTATTGTTTGTCTTTGGTCAATTATTGATATATTATTAAAAAAAAAAAAAGAAAAATATATTTATATAAAATGATGACCGCTAGCAATCTAATCGAGCCGGCACGATTCAAGTAAGTAAGTGAATATGCGCTGATGAATCGTTTGATGACACATCTGTGTGTGTGTGTGTGTGTCGACAATTGTAAAGACACACAAAAGCAATCATATCTATTCTTTTTGTCATTGTATTTTCAATCGTTTATTTGTTCCCACTACCACCACATGTGATGGACCATCGCCACGCGAAGATCATTTCTTATTAAGCTCGAAACAAACAACATGTCTTGTTTGCTCATCGAATTAACTTCTGTGTGTGTGTGTGTGTGTGTGTATGCGTGTGTGTGTATGATGTAACTTTTTCTTTTTGATTGTTGTTACTTTATCTATTCTGCCTTCGATGATCATCACTATCATGATTTATTCATATTGACTTAATTTTATTTTACAGTATGCCGTCTGGTTGGCCAGCATCATTACAACTTGTTAAAGATCTTGATCGAACAAGTTGTTCAATTAAATCTGAAGAATCAACATCAACAGATGAATTAGATGATGATCAAAATAATGATGGAGAAGGTGTTTGGAGTCCAGATATTGAACAAAGTTTTCATGTAATTTATTTTTTTATTTTTTTTTTGTAATGTAAATTAATTATTTAGGAAGCATTAGCTATTTATCCTCCATGTGGACGACGAAAAATTATTTTATCTGATGAAGGTAAAATGTTTGGTAGAAATGAACTTATTTCACGTTATATTAAAATGCGTACGGGTAAATCACGTACAAGAAAACAAGTATCATCACATATACAAGTTCTTGCTAAACGAAAATCAAAAGAACTTCAATCATTATTTAAAGTAATTATATTAATAAAGAAAGAAACATAAAAAAAAAAAAAATTCTTTCTTTTCTTTGTTTTTTTTTGTTTAGGATTCCAATTTAAAAGAACAACATCGTCCATTTGTTATGAATCAACATTATCATCCATTACGTGATACAACAACAACATCACCGATTATAAATGATAGTACTTCACCATATTATACACATCATCGTACAGCTGTATCACTTTTTTCCCCAACAACAAATATGAATATAACACCAACATCATCATCATCTCCATTTAAACCGACAGCTACTCTTTCACCATATCCATCACCATCAACAATCGTATGTTAATGATTTTTTTTTTTTAAATTATTTATTTATTTTTTGTTAATTTAGAGTCTTTGGCAACAATCAGCAACACCTTACGTTGAGTAAGTTTTAAGATTTTTAAAAATGAATTAAATTTATTGATATGAAAATAATTTTTGCTTTTTAAATTAGTATTAAACCATTTTCTCCATCATCGACAACAACAACTGATCTTATACCAACAGCAAGCACAACAACTTCATTAACAACACGTTTTATAAGTTCAAATCGAATAAAACTTGTTGAATTTGCTGCATATATTGAATCAAAACGTGACATTGATTCAGTAAGACATAATATATTTTTTTGTTTTTCTTAAATGAATGTTTTTTTGTTTTTAGAGACATTATCTTCTTCATATCAGTCAAGAAGCTGCTACTGATATGAAACCTGAAGTAAGTTAATCAGATTAGTTATGGCATATTTGAAATATTTTGTTTTAAAGCGTATCAAAGTGAGCCAAATAATCGATTTATTTCCAATGTTGAAAGAACTTTATGATAGAGGACCACATGATGCATTTTATGTTGTTAAAGTTTGGGTATAAATTTATTGATTTTAGATTATTTTATTTTTCTAATCACTCTCATTTCTTTTTTTTTTTTTTGTATTGTTTTAGGTCAATATGAATTATCAAGAGAATGTAACAAATACATATCATTATTCTTCTCTGTAAGGAAAATTTAGTTTTCTTCTATGAATTGAATTTTATTTTTGTTTTTGTTTTAGTTTTGAAAGTTCGGAGGATAATTTAAACATTTGTATAACAACAAAAGCATGTTCATTTGGAAAAACTATTGTTGAAAAAATTGAAGTATATCACATAATAGAATAAAAAAAAAAAGTCTTTGATTAAACAATAATGCTTCCGTTTTTTGTTTATAGAATGGTACAACAAAATATAATGATATTATTGGTAAATGTATTCATCGTTCAATTGATACAACAATGTGTGGTTTTATGATTGATTTTATAAAAAAACTTAAAACAGGACTATATGTACGTGAAATGATGAATATTGTACTTGAACATTTAGGTGTACTTCAAGTAAGTATTTAATTGATTATTTTTTCTGTTTTAATGTTAAATTAATTGTTTTTTTTTTTTTTTTTTTCTTCATATGATTATTTAGACAGTTATATCAAAAGATACGGATGAATTACTTTTATGTATTGCATATATTTTTGAAATAAGCGAATCACCGTCATTAGGTGGAACACAATCGGCTGCTTATCGCTTATGCGATTAAAACTGAACGATTCTTTTGCATATCTTTTTTCTTTTTTTGCGTTTGAGCCCCACCTTAAAAAAGTGCCGATTTGGCTGTGCAGATATAATAATAATGATCATTCACTTATCCCTTCAGCATCATAATGTTTCTTTTTTTTCTTCTTTGCTCTTGTTCATTCGCTACAAGATTTCTTTTTTTTTCCTTTTTGTTTTCTATCCTCAATATTATTCTTGAACATGTAGTTGTTTTTGTTTGCTTTATACTTGTACCACTACCCGCTTCATCATTGCTGCTATTACTTTCTCTTGTCTCTAATAAATTATTTTTCAAGATTCTCGTTTTCTTTCTTTTTTTGTCTTATTCGTTTTTTTTTTCAGTCTACAACACATACATACATTCCAATGTCTGTCTATATATGATTGTGTCGAAGAAAAACAAATCGACGGTGATTTATTGACTTGTGTCAGACGAAACAAAGTTAATTTACCATATCGTTGATCTTCTCGTTTTTTTTTTTCTTGGCTTTTTCTCATCCAATTTATCTGTATCTTAGAAGAATTCATATAAAAAGAAATAGTATTAGTTATATGTACTACTCGGATTTAATTAGAATGTGAGACAAGCTCCAGTTGTAAAAACATTACAATGGTGACGAAAAAAAGAAAATATGATTGACGATAGAAGAGAGGAAAAAGAAGAAAAAAAACGCGAGAGGCGTGTTAATTGCTGCATCTAGTAAAAGATCATCAATGATAGAATCAATGAACTCGCAAATGATCGCACAGTTAAGATTTGTTTGCCATGATAACATATAACACCAGTTGTCAGTGACGATGATCGATGGAGTGTGTCGTCGACGTTGTTGATTGCTGCCTAATTCATTCGACAAGCATGATACTATTAGAAGAATAGATAAGAATATATATGTACACACCTATATCCATATATATTAATTAGCAACGGAATTTTCTCATTATTCAATATGTGAATCTATTGAATGAAAATTGGAGGTTCTACTTTTTTTTTTATTATTGAGATACTAAATTTTAGACATTCATTATATGAGTAATAAAAATTTTGTAGCGTTGTGAATCATAAGAAATAGATTGAGGATTAATTGAATTGAATCCTTTAAAGATATCTTGGCAAAAAAAGATTAATTTTTTTTTTTTTGTTGAAGTTTATTTAATCATAAACGATAAATAATGTCTAGTTTTTGTTTCAACAAGTTTTCATATATTACGATATGATTTGAAATCATTATGTAATTCAATAAGATTTTATAACTAAGATAAAATCTTGAAAATGTTTAAAATGTTATCCAATAAGATTATTTGTAACTATGTTCATGTTAATAATATATTTTCTTTTTCAATTCTTATAATTAACAAACCATTATATGCTAAATAGGCAAAATTTTATTCATGAAGAAGTCAATGTCATTGTTTTTAACTTCTGTGATACTATCATAGAGAAAGAGTTAATGCATATTTTACACATTTAGATGAATATGTAATGCACAAAACTTTCTATATCTCATATTTAAGATTACCAAATATGAATTCTATCTCTTTAATTTTCGATTTTTCATTACTAATACGACACCGATGTGTCCTCTGTCAACTGATAGATAAATAAGCGATGTTCTTCGTTAATCAGTATTTTAATCAAATCGAACCTTCAACGCTTCTAGCAGAAAAATTCGCTCTATGATTATTCTTTTCTATGGAAAGTCCTCCTAATGGTAATGATTATATTATAATCCAAAGATGTTTACAGCATAGGTCATAGATCCAACAAACCAATGAACATTGTCCGTTTTCGATCAATTTGGTTAGAGAACAAAAATCTTGATAAATTCAGAAAAATTTGTTTTTTGTTTTTCTCGAAATCAACTTTTGAGAAGTTTTTCACACCGTCTTCCATACGGTACAGGGTGGTCAGGACCAAAACTTTTTTCTAAGCACTCTGGTGAAATTTGGATGCGTAGTTTTTTTTTTCTTCAAAATATTAGTCTTATAAAATTTGACAACCTTAAAAAAATTAGTATCATTGAAAAGAAATGTTATTTTGAGTATTTTGCTTCTCTTGAAGTCTAGGAAAGGTATTTTTGAAAGAAAATAAGATTCAGTTCGTTAAAATTAAATTATAGACTATATTGGAGAAGAGAAGAAACTTCTGGCTATTTTTTGGCTTTTGCGACTCTCATAATGATCTGAAGAAAGCATCTGATAACTCAAAGCCTATGACATTTTTTACTCTAATTTTCAATATCTATCTGCTTTGAAAGTCTCATCATTTCTTGTTGAGTCGTTTCCAAGCAACACCAGAAAGAATGGATGTCCTATTAGGTAAATCGCTGATCCCAGTCAATTTATTAAAAACAAAAAAAAAAACTTCTATACACATACATATGTATTTTTTTTAAAAAGTATTTGAATATACAAGTGATGCAAAACCACAAACATCTCTGCCACGTTTCATAACTTCTGAACTAACATTATAACAAAGAAGTTTCCAATGTCCTTTATCATTATTCAATAGTTTTGATAAAATCATAACAATTAATGATGGCCAAAGTCCACACATTGAATTTTGAGTTGTCCATTGAATTTGTAAGAGTTTTTCAGGATCATTCGATAAAATCGATTGTAAAATAGGTTTATCATGAATACGAGCATATTCTTCATTTTCAGATAAATTTTCAGCTCGAATTTGACCATAACCAGGTCCATAATGAGTATAATCCGTAGTCGAAATAATAACTAAGCGTTTACCTAGAAAAATATTCTCACTCAATAAGAAATAGATAAAAATAAGTTTCATGAAAAATTTTTTGTCATCTAACGAAAAACGTATTGAAAAAGTCAGTCTACATTAATCTAAATCTTTCGTTATTTGGTAACGTGTAATTAAGACTTGTCTTATTGAAAGTTAAAGATACTTCAAATTTAATCAAGAATATTCATATTAGAAAATCTTAGATGACGAAAAAAAAATTTGATTGTTTGTTTTCAACTAAAATTTGATTGTCATCTTCACAATTATCATCAATACCTGTCTGTTGTCGATATAAATTAATTGCTTTTTTAATTTGTTCACAGACTTGATATCCTTTATTTAAATCATTTAATCTTGAAAATGATAATGCAACAAATTTTGCTGTTGGTCGTAAATGTTTTAAAAATGGTAGTTGATTTTCTATTGAATGTTCTGTTCGATGAGCTTCTCTATCGATTGTTTGAATACCTAAGACTGAGATAAGTGTATTAAATAAATCTATATCAATATCCATGACACCAAGTGGTGTTTGCCAATTGTCAGGAGAAAAACTCACATCAGATGAACCCATTCCACAATGATTTGTTCCAATAATAAGTGCTGTATCAAAAACAAATGAGTTTATCCAATAATATGCTTGAGCATAAAGTGGTCCTGAATCACAATAAGCACCATGTGGTACAAGCATACATGGAATAAACGATGTATCATCGTAATTAGTAACAGAAAGTTCGAATGGTAATTGACCTGGTCCTAATCGATGTAAATAAGACGAAATAATTTCTTGCAAACATTCAGATTTTTGTGATGAATAATAATAACAGAGAGGAGCACGAGTTAGAATATGCTGTAAATTGGAAAGTATAATGTTACTGACCATTTTAATACTGAAAATATATAATAGATATTAGAAGTACTTTAAACATAGAAGACGAAGTACAAAAAATAAATCTATAAAATTCATAATTTCTTTCATTAAAAGAAATAAATATTCAAATTATTTTTTCGTAATTTTCCATTATTAACATGTTGTTTCTTCAATAGATGATATTAGACGAGAATCTTTCATATGCATAGGAAAGCTTTGTTAATCTCTTGACTATTTTCATTACAAAATTTCAATAAATTTCCTGTAATTCTTTTTTTTCTCTTCGTCAAATCAGTAAAAGTTGTAAAAGATGAAATATTTAATTTAATGAAAGTTTTTCTTTTGATCATCAATCAGATGTCGTACTTAAGCTTTTTTTATATCTAAAAATTGAAAGTATTATTTCAGAACATAAAATATTTAATTTTGGTTTTTTTTTGTCATATAAATTACAGAATAATTTCTACAACATATCGAATAATGATTAGCTGAAATTAGTTGTTGAAATAATTTTATTTTTCATGTCTTTCAAAGCAATTAGATCGAAGCGTATGAAACAGAAAAAGAAGTAATTTACTACATTTTGTCTTTGCAAAACTTATAGGTTAATATGAATCATCAATAGATTATGCAAACATTTAGAGATGAGTCATTCAAATACTGTTTGAGTGTATTATAGAGGTCAGCTATGAATAGTTATTGTTATAACTTTTTTTTATTATTAAATAATGAAATAAATAATGATTTCGTTTGTAATTGAACTTATTATTTTTCATTGATAGAAGAATTTTTAATGATCACAGCAATAAAAGATATTATTCAAAAAACTTTTAGTACAATTTGAATAAAACATACTGTTATATTTACATTTCATACTATTTCAATTTCTATAGAAATACCTTCTTTGAAATTTTCTTTGTTATCATAAAAGTTATTTACGTTGATAACTTACAATTGAGATGCGTCTATTTGAGTATATTCGAAAAAAAATATTTTTATTTTCATAATGTCATTAAGTTTATAGTTATGATTGCGTGTTGTTTCTTACTATTTTCAATATTCTATGGAATATATTTCAATTCTACATGATAATATTTAATTTTAATTTCGATTAAAATTAATAATTCATTGAAAATATGTCAATCATTATATCCAAAAATTTCATATAAGACATTGAAAAATATGTAGTAAATGAAGATTAATTTTCGGATGTATTGGATGAAGTTTTTATATTTTCAATAAAACATTGGTTCATAAATGTTTGATCTTTAGGCTAGACAATGGATAGTTTCAAAAATTTACTCTGACATAGTTGATAAGATTAAAAAACGAAGACTGATATAAAATAAAATGTTCTTGTTGATTTCATATTATAAAAGCTTGTTAGAATGACCTCAGAAAGTTGCTTTCGTACTCAATGTTTTTTGAGATAACAGGAAGTATACTGTTCGAGATGTGATGATACAAAAGTAGTTCTTGACGTTCATTCATCAGCATCATGTAATTGCTCTAATGATGAAATTCATTAAAAAGTATCGACAAGCTTAATTAAAAGAACCGCATGTGATCTTATCAAAATCCTTAACACTAATTTATTTTCTTAACTTAATTGGAATAATGATCTTTTTCAATCCTATAAAAGAACATACATTCACAAAGTTCCAAACAAGAGAAAAATAGACAATGTCTGATTCGTTAGTAGATATTGGTATTCAACTTTATCGAATCATCTTACCCGTAATCATCATTATTGGTATAGTAGGTAATTCACTCAATATTGTTGTACTTACTCGACCAACCTTATATTATCATTCATGTTCTCGATATTTTCTTGCACTCGCTATCACCAATCTTTTTTATTCAAGTATTATTTTTACCTATCGTCTATTAGCCAATGGATATCAGATAAATCTATCAAACAATTCAATAGTCTCTTGTAAAATTATCACTTATATCAGTACTACAAGTGCATTTTTTTCTCCCTACTTGATTGTACTCGCTTCAATTGATAGATACTGTGCCAGTTCAAGAAGTCCATCAATGCGTAAATTTAGTAGAGCTTACGTGGCACAATGGATGAGCTCGATTATTGTCGTTATATTTTCACTTTTCTTCATTTACATCTTAGTCACAGCCAATTTACAGCCAGAAAAAGGATTGAGTTGTGCTGTACAAGTAAATAGTATCTTCAGTCAAGTGTACCTAATCATACAAGTTTCTCTATTTGCTGTGGTTCCGCCTAGCCTTATGATGATTTTTGGTCTTATGACTATTCAAAATGCAAATCGATCACGTGCGATTCAAGTAGTAGCTTCACGTTATAATCGTACTGAACACCAACTGGCTCGAATGCTTCTTCTTCAAGTCAGTGTACATGTTTTTCTCACTTTACCATCAAGTGTTACTTATTTGATGGCAGCTTTACCAAACAAAATTCAAACTACATCTACTTTCTCCTTTATATCTATAATTTGTCAATTACTTTTTAACTGTTCTTATATCACATCCTTCTTTTTATATCTTTTGTCTGGTCGTATCTATAGAAAAGAACTTAGTCAATTGATGTACAAAACATTTAAAATCCGTTATGGCAATCGTGTTAAATCTTTAACAAATCACAACACCATCTTATCAATCGCATCATTAACTAATCCACGACCAGCAATTTAATATTTCTCATTTACTACTACGTCCCGTTTAAATGAACTGTAGTGGGTTCCAACTAGAAAACTACGAAAAATGGTAGGAATTCGAAAGCAGAAATTCTATGATCAGATTTGGTGATTCAGATTATTCCAGTTATGGCCGAGACTGATCGTAACCAAGCAGAGCTGATCATCGGATCCCTTTAACAGATGTCTGCTTTTAAGTTCGTATAATTTTTCGAGGTTTTCCGACGAAATCGATGTCTCTTCGGTGGATTTCTGTCGGAAATTCATGGATTCTGGCGTCGAAATCAAGGTCTAGAGAAGCATCCCACATTTAAATTCAAAGAACTCATTGAAATTGCTGCAATAAACAATTGATCATCATTTATGACATATATGTTGTTCGTTTGTATCATCGTCCCAATGTTCTAAATTAATAAAGATTAAATTTGAAATACTTAAATAAAAATGATGTACCTACAATAACAATAATAACTTTGAATATATTGAGAAATAAGAAAAATTCAATGATCTATTTTCTGTCACGTATCACTTATGTGCAACTCATACATTGCTAATGATGACTAATAGATAGATGAAGTTCTTGCTTATATATTCGAAGGACTATTACATATGGTGAAGATAACATTTGATGGTGCTAATTCTTAATATAAAAATTAGATGTGCTAAAATAAAGAGACTTGATATAAAGTAATATCCGTTTTTTTACATAGACTCTGCCGATTCTGTAAATTATCGTATCCGTATCACATCCTGCTTTGATATTTAGGATCATATTTTGTATTTATTATAGACCTTTCATGCCGAATGACCATTTTTAATCCTCATTGTACTAATTTTTTTGAATTGATAGAAACTTCTTATGTTGATTTGAGACATATATTATTCTCATTAGTGAAATGATGCGATTTTATTTGATAAATATAGTAGATGAAAATGTCTCATTTTTGAAACTTAGTAGTTCTGAAAATATTTCTCTGCGACTCTATGACAAAGAATTGTTCTAGTCGTTGAATGTTTACTCGAGCAAGAGCGACATTCATTGGTCCTTATTATTCGAGCACACATAAGCAAAATTTACGAATGTTATTAAAGATTAACAGAAATTTAAAAAAAAGCAATTATAAGTGTAAGTCTGTCAATCAAATTTGTTTAATAATTAAGCCAAATATAGATAATAGTAAGAGAAGACCAAAGTTAATATAATATTGTGGATTGGATGAGTTGCACAAATCATTCTGACAACAATACATGCCATTGCCTGTAGTGCATGTTGCGCTGTAATCCTTGGTCACTGAAGTGCCTACTACTCGTTTCTACAAATAATCGATATAATTATTCAAGTTTTGAAGCTGTACTAAATATAACTTACCGTACAGTAGTTACCTCCACCTTCAGTAAAGATCATAACAGCCTTGCTAGGACTCCAAGTCGATCCACAGTTATTACACTTGTAACATTGAAATGCACCATTGCTACGTTCAATAACTAAAACAATTTATATAAATTAATTTTTTTATCAAAATATACCAATAATTTTTCAAGAAGTAAAATAAAAATATTCTTTCAGTAGTAAATCAATAAATTACTTACATAGAATTATTCATAATTTCGAATATAAAATATTTGTTTTTGAATTCAAGAGACAAAATAATATACAAAATTTATCAAATGAAATTCTACTTCCAATCGTATTGTTTGAATCTGATAAAGGACTTTACAGTAGTAGAACAACACTATTCAGCAGTTCATTCATAGATTTTTTTTTTGGTTTATATTCTAATCTTTCTTTGTCTCTATGGCTTTTTATGTTTGTCGAAAAATAAGTGGTCTATAGCGAACTTCAGCAATATGTTCCATAGATTAAATTCAATAATATTGTTCAGATTTTTCAGTAAAGATTCGGAAATAATGATAATACTTCAGATTAGTTAAGCCTTCCTCCTCGTAAAAAGAAAAGCTTGCTTCCGTCATAATTATTGAAATTAAGATAAACGCATAGAAGCATAGTTTGTGCTGAATCGTACATAAACAATTTAATTTTTTTTTTGACACATCCTTTTTTCCAAAAGTTTTCAACGGCTTCCATCAGCTTCTACTTCAAAAATATGTTTTTTTTTTCAGGTTTTTCTGATAATGTGTCCCAAAATTCTCTATGGTCCTTCATTGAAATCAATTGTCTTTGTTCCGTGTGTCAAGGAGAATGTGAAGCTGCAGTGTCTGATAGAGCTCATTTTTAGTATCAAGTTTTTGTATTATTATATAAAAGTGCACTTTTTTAAATAGAGGAAAGTTTTTGAGTTTTATGAAGTATTCAGCTAGTCATCCATTTTCTTCGCATCAAAAAAAAAAGAATTTGAATGAAAAAAAAGCGACTCTGTCAAGTACTATCGTCTGACATAGTGTTTTAAATAAAAAGAAATTAAATTTATCTAATGAGGTCCCACAGAGATTTTAAGTTGCCAGATGAGTTAATTTTGAGCCTTGTTTGATGGATATATCTCAAAAACTATTATAGTATAGGGGTTAAACTTTGTGCACTATCTTCTCACTAGAGTGGGCACCTATCCTAAAAATCCGGTACGGTTCGAATGTATCTGGCCTAAGATTGGCTTTTGAAAATCGAAGACATAAAAACTTCAAGTATTATTATCACTTACTCGCTATGATGAGCAAACACACGAGAAATGCTTTCATGTTAATCATAATACACATCTAAACAAGTTTCTATTGTAGTTCGATTTTGAAACTCGACTCAAAAGAAGATCATATATATTATATTGTCCACCCACTGTTATTAAGAAAATATTTACTACTGATAGTTATTCATCAAATGTTGACATCAAAATATAATAGAATTGCTTACCATATCAATAACACCACGCTATTATAAAGAAGAAGTTAGTATTTTACTTGTCAATATTTGCTTAATAAAGTAAATTGAAAATCATACGAACTTTTATTTGTTGGTGTCATGATCATTTTTTCGAATTATTTACCGATGACAACAAATTATGCAAAGATTAATCGTCCAACCTAAAAGTTTCTCTATTGAGTTTTAAAAAAACTTGTAATGATTTAAAATGACAGATCTAAGGTATTTTTCAGGAGAGCGAAGTTTTTGTCAAGGAATAAATTAGTGTGAACTATTTATTAAAGAATGTTCGTCATACGAACAAAGTCTCGAATGGGTAAATCATTGTGAGCAAAATATTACAATATTTTATATATCTTTTTTTCTAAAAGCCTGAATACTAAATTCAAAAAAGGATTGACATGTTTAGAAAATCTACAAGTTTTTTTTTCACTATTTTATTAGAAAAATCTTTTATATCAAAATCTGTCAAATTCTTTCGATGAAATAAAAGTTTTGGATGAAATCAAGAATGTTTTGTGTACTTCTTGAAAACTTTTCAGTTGCCTACCTAAGGTAACAGAGTTTAAGGTGAACATCGTTCGAATTTAATTACTTGTAGACAAACTTTTATGAATTTTATAAATATATCAATGTCTTTTTCCATGTTAGTATTCAACTTTTTTTTTAAATAGTATTTTTAGATTTTCTTTCTTCACTTTTCATTATTACTTTCTACAAAATTAATTGGTGATGCACATATTTGTATTGTACTAAAGAATACTACAACGTATTGCCTGTATGACAAAAATTTTTAACCCAATTTTTTATTGAGATGTCTATTCTTTCTGAGTTTTCCAAGTTCAATTTTATTATAGAGTTTTGAATCCGATAAATTTTTTGATTAACTTAGTACACTAAATTACAACACTTAATTATTGTAAACTGATGAAAATAATTCTGCAAGAATGTTATTGTCGACATTCGATATATAAAACAAATTGTTATGAATTTATGTCAAAGAATTAGTTAGATAATTCATTTGATTTGTTATATTTTTTTTTACGCAATTAAGTATTTTTTTAAATACTATTACGCACTATTTGTCATGTCCTTTAATTACTTTGACAATTGTTTAGCCTTAAATTATCTGTTGAAAGAGAATTTCTTAACAAATATAGGAGAGCTGAATCAGTATGATGATGCTTGACTAGCAAAGTTTTATCGTATAAAACAATGTCGTCGGTTTGTTTACTTTAATTATATACAGTATGTGAAAAAAAAAACATTTTATATTCGTTTATTGGATCATGATTTTCTGTGATTGCAATCCAGTTACTAGACCAGTTTTTCTATTGCGCACCAACATTTTTCCATTAATTTCAATGAATCCTCCATTGTTTTGTTCCAAATCAAGTCTTTGTAAATCATTAATTACTTTTTCACTTCCATAGTAACTATGACGAACAACATCTTCTTTTAATCCATGACCTAAAGTTACACATTCAACATTATTGACTAACACTGTATGACCTTGATCTAGTACAAAATTATATACAGCTTCACAAGAAATTTCATTTGGTGATGAAACAAGTGAACAAGGCATAATCCATTGTCCAAGATGTCGAATTGGATGCCAAGCAGTAATGATCAAGTCATTTTCAACCTACAAAAAAAAATAGAAAATTTAAAAAACTAACGGCTTTAAAAAAATACAATGATAAATAAACTTATCATTTTCAAAAAAAAAGGAGAAATCTGAATGATTATAATTTATTCCTTTGAAATTATTTAATACTTACTATAACCATTTTTGCTTTTTGATTTTGACACATTGTTTTAACCACAAATATAACCATGCCACCATGTGGTGCCATTTGATCACCTGGTTTGACATCTTTTACTAATTTAGTGGTTCCATTCATTAGACGTACTGTACAGTGCTCATAAAAACATCCACCATCAGCATCATGAAAAACTGCCATATTTATCGTAGCACCAGTTTGTGAACGTTTTGGAGCAGGTAAACTGCAAAATATTTCATCCATTTCATCACGTACTTGTGTGAAAAGTGTACCCTTTCCATAGTGTTGAACACCTGGATCTTTGAAATTATTACAGAATTGAAGAAGATGAGCACCTGAAAAATGAAACCAATTTTAATATATACTTCTTTTTCTTTCTTCGAATTCCAAATGAACTCAATCTTCTATTTAGAAAATAAATATTTAAACTAAACGAGTTTTCCTTGTTAAATGAGATATATTTATGTAATGCTTTAAGAAAACATTATAATGAATTTTTTCATACATTACTCTAACTTATTAAATAAAAAGATAATATAATTTGTTATTCATATCTGTTAGAAAATCAATCATTACTAATGGTCAATCTAATATCATGATATTATGAATATATCTCTCACAAAAAATCTGTTATTAATTATTATATACATTTATTTGATCAAACTTACGTGTTAAACTAGGTAAAAAATGTTTGCCCCATTTATGGAACCATTCTTCTTTTTCGATAGCTTGTTGTACTTGTCCTGTTAAATCTTTCAATAAATCTTTGATAAACTCATCCTTTCCATCTGCATATTTTCTCATATTCTTTTCTAATGTTTGAATATGATTCATTGCTGCTTTACGTTGTTCATTTTTATTTCTTAATCTTATTTTTGTTTCACGCATTTTTTCTAATGCTATTCGTACACGATGAACAAATTCTAGTCGAAGTTTATGTCGAATTATGACATCAAGATCAGCTTGTTGAATATTATTTGTCAAATCGAATGTAACAGATTTTTGTATGTTTTTTACATTGGTATAAGTCAGCGTGAATTGATATTTACGGATAATTCTAAAAGAAATTGGAATCAATAAATCTTTAGTTTGACCGTATGTGATTGAGCCCAAATGAAAGCAAGTGCCTTGAATACTGCTATTCATTGAATACCAACGTGTGTAAATCGTAGATTGAAGATGTTGATTATGAACGAATAACTATAATAGAAGGATAAATATAATATTTGCTGTTTCTTGTAAGAGAATATGTAAAGTCAAAAATAGTATGATCAATTCGATCATAATAGTAGTCCTGGTTATTTTACAAATCTATCTCAATCTTTTAAAATCAAATTTAATGTGAAATTTTCGAAATCAGTTTATCTATTTCATAAAATCGTGTAATCTGAAGAGGCTTTTTGTATGCTTATATATGTACCAGAGAAAATTAAGATTTTATGCAAAATTAGATAGAATTTTTAAAAGATTTAAAAATTTAAAAAAAAATCAAAAAAAGATAGAAATAAAGAACTGGTTTTATATATTAATATGAGGTTATGTTCAAGAAAACAAAGAATGAAAGGATCGTTAAGCTTATACTTTTTTGAGTAGAACTTTTTAATCGGTGTTTATCTGTCTTTGAATTTAACGTAGTTCATATGTGATATGATATGCATAAATATATTGTACTGTTAATTTTTCTTGAGTTATTATTCAACCCACAAACAGCAAGGACTTGTTTTTGGCTTATTTATCTTCTTTGGTAGAATAATGGCTGCATTTTCTTGGAATTCAATATTTCAGAAATTTTATATATTAATTCGCTTTTCTTAAAAATATTTTCGAAAAATATTTTCCATATCGACTCAGAAAAGTCATCGGTGCACGTATTAGAGTATGAATAAGTGAAAATGAATATTCAATCTAATACAAAAAAAAAGCAGAAATATGCAATGTTTTCTTCATACAATCAGAAATTAAAGTTTACTTTTAAATAAAAGAAAATTATTTGTTAGTTTTATGCACTTGATTAAAAACTAATTTTGTTTCAGTTTAATTTTACCTGGGACATATGTAATGTGTATATTACGTATGAAAAAATTTTCTTTTGATCTCTGTCACAATTCAAGTTCTAGTTTACTGCTGATGTTTCATATGAGCATTTATTTGCTGAGATAACTGTAATTATAGCTTCGATTATGATTTTTACCTGTACATTGTTTGCTGCTGTTGTTAACAGTGTCGAAATAGCATTGACAAATATTGTTCCAACAAATGATCCATCAGGAATAAATGCATATGAGCCACAATTTCCCAATATAGAAATATCTTCGAGAAGTTTGCTATCCAAGTTGTATCCAAAACCAAAAGTATTGACAGTACATGTAAATTTAATTTCTGTCTTAAGTTTTCTTAGTGATTTCAAATGACCGCCTCGTGGTTCTATGTTCGGACAACCATCAGTCAGGAGAAACAAAGCTGAAATACTTCCAATAGAATGTTGTTCTTTTGATAGAACTTCAAGGCCAGTTCGAAGACCATCCCATAAGTTTGTTAAACCACCCACCTAGATAAAAGTTTTAAACAAATTGAAAAATACTTGAACATACAATATCATCAATATAAGTATAAGCAATTATCTGTATATCATGGAAACTGTAATTCAGAAAAAGTTAAAGAAAAAGAAAACTGATTAATCTCAATAAATTTTATGAAATTTCAATCCAAGTTAAACTCTCCTATGATGAATATGAGATGATTCAATAGTGTTGCATTTTACATTTGTCGAAAAATTAGAAAGCTCTTTAAATCAATATTTGTATGGTAGCTTCTATGTACTCTGATATGGACTACTAACCGATAAGTGTTCAATTGCTGATAAAGCTTTTGATTTTCCTTCATCATCCATTTTTGTTAAATGAAGCAAGATATTAGCGTTATCTGAGAATGATACAATTGATAGTCGATCTTGACCTTGAAGAGAACTTATGATTGTCTTTAGAGCGTGTTTAACCAAATCTAACTGTGATAAACCATACTGTTCATTTTTATCATTTTGAATTTCAGCTGCAGCTTGCATTGAACCTGAAGTATCAACTACACAACAAATATCACATGAAGAACGAATTTCATCTTTTGGAGGTTGAATTGAGATGTGAACAAAATCATTTGTCTGACTTGCAGATACTTTTATTTCAGATGAATGTACTTTTGTTAGAATAGGACTTGATTTAATATCTAATTTAACTGACTGACGATATTCATCAATAGCCATTTTAAGAGCTCGATTTGATCGTAGATCATCGATAGAAAGAGGAGTACGAGCTATTGGTGATGTATCACTTCGACGAATGCAATCTTCAGTTACATTCTTTTCATAACCGTTACCATCAGGATCAATGGCTGGATCTATTATGAGTTCACGAATAATTGGACAAAAGAAAGATGCTAATGAATCGACCATGTTTTCAATTGAAGTTGTTTTCAATTTATTAGTAGATTTTGTTTTGTTGTTTCATTAATAGACTTGCATATTTATATTATCATTTGTAGTACTTTTCGGTGACGTATGTTGTGAAGAAACACACATGACTCAGAGTTTATTATAGATAAAAGGAAAAATCTTAAGAAACATGTCACACAATGACTATGAGCCGACTAGGTACAGTATAAACATCACAAAGAAAAGAAAAAACCTGACTTATAACTATTCATGTTTTTTTCTAACGATGTGTGTAAATATGGGAATGGGGAAAAGCCACTATGGGCGATATGCGTAGTTGAAAAGAACGAACCTATTTTCGTCCACGATATTTTTGATTGATTTCAGCATCACCGAATTAATTCATAAGCGAAAACAACACTGAATCGAACATAATCTGTTCTATGCATAATATTTTATTATTATTTCTTTATTTATTACCGAATCAGTAGGCTTCCAACTCATTTGGTTACCAAGTCGGATGTGATTGTCAGTATGGAGAGGAAAACAGTCACACCCACGCTCTTCTACTAATACATCTGAACCAACCTATTGAACGTTCAACAAAAAAAACTGGAGCCTATATTGCTACTACAAGTCTTTTAGATAAAAATTCATTCCAATGAAACCTTCTTCTGGTGGTATCTGTTTTCGATGTGACAACAGATTCATTAAAATAAAATGTTATGTATGGAATGGATCATATTCGATCTAGACTCATTTTCATTTATGAATTCTTTCGGTAATATTAGGAGCACTGAAAAACATCGTGAAGAGATAAAAGAATTCAGCGAAAATAGAAATTATCGTTGAAAGATGTAAGTGATTCAATATTTATTTTTCTGCGTAATAAGATTCATTCTAAAAGAAAAGAAAGCTTTGTATGCATGAGAGAGAGAGAGTAAGAAAATCTACTTTCTAGGAACTAAAAAGGTAATTTTAATGAACTTGCATTATGTATGTTATTATTAAACGAGTGCTCTTTATTCTATTATGTATTAGTCGATATAATATACAACGACAAAATATGAGTATTCTAGAGTCTTATTTATATTTCAATAGCATTTAAGCTACGATTTCCTTCTACATCTCTTTTTTTATTCTGATAAGTTCTATGAAGAAAAATATAAATCTATGACAATAGGAAGTGCGATAACAAATAGATTGTGCAACAAATTTAAGGAAAAAAATTATACAACTAGTTAGAAACCGTTTGTTACACTTTTTATAGATGAGATTCAAATTCTAAAGCTTTTTCATTAAATTTGTTTCATCACGTATGCTTCGAGCAATATATCAATGAATTCTCTTTCTTGAGATTGTTATCAGATACTCACCTGAATCATTAAATCTATCTAAAATAGGCACAGACCGTGGTCTTCCAACCTTTCATATTTTTGTTAAATTTTGAAGAAAAAATATTCATTTTTTAAGCAGGAGATGTAGGTATTAAAGTACACGATAGAGTATTTGTGACAGTGTAAGATAAGAAATTCTTTTTTTAAAAAACATTTTGACTAATCACAATTATGACTAATGATAAATTGTGACAACATTGTTCATCGTCCATCTATTTATTTATTTAGTGTATTTATCGTGTCTTCTACTTTGCGATCATTTTTCCTTAATTGGAGGAAAAAAATGTCCGCAAAGTAGAATCGGGGGGGGAGAGACACAAATGACCGCACGTTGGAAAATGTCCGCAAAGCGGAATCGATAGATAGAGAGACAAAAATGACCGCATTATGGAAACAAGCGAAAACATATATTCAGGGTGATCAGTGTAGGTAGCTCGATTTAAGAATGAATATCACGTCCTTCGAGCTAGTCTAGTTTTGAATATCACGTGCCGTCGAGGCCATTCTTCAACGCTTTTGTGAATGAATGTATTTAAAGTAATCGAAATCAAGTTAGATAAATCAAATGAAAAAAATGTCCATCGTAAACAATGGGGGTATGGGTGTGGAGTGTGGGGTGTCGGTGGGTATGGGTGTGGGTGTGGGAGTGGTGTGGATGTGTATAAACAAAGACCCCCACCCTACCACCCATACCACACCCACACTCACACCCTGCGGTCTTTTTGTTATCGATATATCAACGTATTCGATACAACTGGCAAGGATGATCTTGATTATGAACCTCCACAAAATTAGATATTTTACTGTCTTTCATCAATCAATTTTTCTGTATTTCTTTTCACATAATAAATTTTGTCTTCATTCTGTAATGCGGTCATTTCTGTCTCTCTCTGTTGATTCCACTTTGCGGACATTTTCCAACGTGCGGTCATTTGTGTCTCTCCCCCCCGATTCTACTTTGCGGACATTTTCTCTTAATTGGTTGAAAAAAATGTCCGCAAAATGGATGTAGCCGTATTTATATATTTGGTCAAGTTAATTTTGCTATTTCTAATCAACGATGAAAATTAGTCAGGAAAAAATCAATTTTTCTTCGAAAAATATTAGATTTAACAAAAAAATTATTTTCATTCATGAAACTCCTACATATAACATGCAATCGATAGTTTCGTTTGTGATGTGTTTCCAGTTTGTTGAATTACATTCTTTTTAAAGAGTATAAAAAAGAGAAGAGAAACTGATTACTTCTGGTTGAAGACGACAACAGAAAGTGAAACTTTTTTATTTATTTATTGTGTTTTATACATAAACTCTAATGATCCTTTATTCGTTTATATAGTAGAAAATCACTCATATAATAATGATGAGTCAATACTTCAATTTCAAGTCGCATAAAGATTTGATATTTTCGATATTTGAGCAATATCGCATAGACATAAATAACTGATTGTTGTTCTCATTCTTTGGATTTATTGCCATTTTAGTGGGCGTTCATATCTATTCAAGTAAATAAAGATAAAAGTATGACATTTTTTCTCATAATAACAGTGGACGATCGATAGCTTTGAATTGTACTTTTCAGAATGGAGCAAATACTTGATGAAAAATATCAATAGAATATGACCTTGAAAATAAACTATTATTAAAATAAGTACTAATCACATTTGGTGAGTTTCTCATCATCTTGAAATTATGTCCTTTGAATACTATTCTTATAAATATCATCACAAACGCAATTCTATGTAATAATCCTCAGCACATTATAACCATGCAATCATCAACAATCATCATCACTACCCTCTTTGCACTCTTTACCGTTGGTTTCACTGCCGAATATCCATCAGTGTTAACAAATTCGATTCTTTACGATGATACTGCACGTGTACAGGTTCGTTCTATTGTTAAAAAACAAAATTAAAATAATTCTACTTTTCTATTCTAAGCTAATCTATAGTAATGTGTTAGTTTTTACTTGATAAATTCTTACAGTATCAACAGTTTTTAGCTTTAAACGTAGTATTCAACGTATTGAAAAACTATAGAGTTAATTGAAGTTATACTCAATTTTCATAGAATAATCTATTTCCTTTCGAATTTAAGATCAACATCAGCAGGATATCAATTGAGATATTTCACATAATATTCAGAAGATATTTTTATTTTAGTATATGAAAATTTTATTCAGAGCTATCTTTGTTTGCTTTCTTTTTTAAATAATTTAATTATTTTTCTACTTATACAAAAATGATCAGAACAAAAGATTCGTATGCATAAAATAAAATTTCAATTGGAATTAACGAGAGTATTTTGAGAAGAATGACACTTTTCTATATATTATCAAAGCATCACACGTAAGATTTGATTTATAATTGTAAAAAATAACAAGCAGAATTTTAGAAACAATAGTACAAGTATATCGAACACGTTAGTTCTATTGATTTAGACGAGTTTTTTAAATCGATATTATTTATTTAAAGACAAAAAACAAAACTACTTTAACAGCATTAATAAAATGTACTTCTACTATAATAATCATTATAATAATAATTGTTTTTTGTTATTACTATTTTAGTCGAGAAACTTTCTCCAACAAGTATGTTATAATGCATATAAACTAATGAGTTTTCATTACATAATTCTGTTTGTATCTCACAGGTTCTTATCAACCAAGTAGTTAATGTTCTTCCACCAAATATTCGCAATGGTATCGACGATGCTGCAGCTTTAGTTGGCATGACACGTCATGCATTTCTTGTAAGAGGTTTAAAAGAATTGCAAGCTTTTCAAGCTTATTCAAAGATTGATTTTATTACTGCAATACAAAAAGCAGTTAAATTTGCTGATGAAAAGTTAACACCTGAGCAAGAAGAATCATTAGAAAGTTTAGAATCACAAGGCATTGAATTTGCCAAATTATTATTTTCAAACCAATTACAACCCGGTGAAATGAATGGACTTTATGATTTACTTGTTAAAATTGTTCGACAAAAAATCACTGGTGAAGAATTAGTCGATGAATTACCACAAGCCCTTAATGGCATCTTGTTACAACACAGTTTGAATGTTGCCCCTAGTGCTTAAGTTTTTTTTTATTGTTCGTTTTGTTTATTAATAATAATATTCTATAACAGAATCTTACTATTTACAAAATCTAATAATAAAAACCAAACACCATCAAAACATCATTTGTATTAAAGAAATAATAATAATTTTTGTTAAAGATTTTAAAGAATCTCATTGATACTAAATCAATAATAAGTATATTGAACTTGTACTTTATAGTTATTCATAGTTTTAAAATAAGCATTGTTTTCCGCAATGGACTTCATTGTGATAACTTATTTGAAATATATAGCAATCTAATTTTAATCAATACTTTCCATAGATTTTGTAATACAACTAAATTTGGATGAACTTATAGAACGAAGAAACTAGAAATCTTCCAAATACATGTAATAACTCTGATTGTTTATAACATCAATCAATATATATAGAATCGCACTAAACTAAACTTGATAAAGTTCGAAAACTATAGGAAACTGATTATATTCGTAGCTTTGGCTATTATTTTTGAAAATCTAGTCTGTTGTCGCGAAACTCATTCAAGATTCACGTCGCTTGTTGAATGCTTAGTTCTCAAGGGAAAAAATTACAACTACAATACTTCGAAGTATGATGAAGTATTATGCATCGAAGCACTGAAGTCACAGTTTTACTTTCATTCATTGGAGTAAATGAATGAGTTAATTTACTTCACATTCAAATTATATTAAGTTATGTACTTCTTTTATCCATGTTTTTCTGTAGTATTGTTTTAAATTCTTGTCAAATATTAACAGTTCTGTGTCTGATATGTATTAGAATGTAAATATTAAAAGTAGCAGCAGTTTTAAAAATTTTATTTTATGATGTTCTTTTTCCTCGAGAAAGAATCGATGTGATTTGAACTCATTGATTATTATTCATGGCATCTTAATCAAACTTTCGTAATCTTTTTATAAATGTAGCCTTTGATAGATCATCATTCGTCTTATTTTAGCCTATGTGAATTTTAATATTTGTTCGATGCTATCCAAAATACATCGACACATTGGAATATTAATTCATATGCTGCAGATAATCTGAACAAGAAAGTTTGCTCGATTATTGAATTCTTTATCAATATAATAAGTTTTGTTTTAGCTGCTCATCAAAGAACAAAAACAGTTTGTAAAAAACAATTAAAGATTATTTACTATTCAAATAAATAAACATCGCTAGTTCACTTAGATTTTTGGAATCCATTTTCTAAGTATGTTATAGATGTATGAAAAGCGAAGAGGAATCGCAAATTTCAATAGAAACCAGAAGAATAGAATCAAGAATGTTGGTAATATATAGTAAAGCATTATCTCTAAATTACTTATGATCATCTTGATAGTTGTTGATTCGTTAGAATTAATTTTCAATATGTTTTTATATGCACATCTTTATTTTGACAGGTAAAAAAATTAAGTTTGTCATACTATTGTATTGTTTATCGTTCATTTTACAATTAATTATTGTACCAATGACCTTTTATGTTTTAGATTTGATGTTAAACAGAAAATTGTTAAACAAGCTGATACTACTTGATCTAGAATTCATTTTATATCACTCTTATGAACTTTCTTCAAACTGCCAGGTAACTAGAAATAATTATGTTTAAACAGATCTGGAACATATATTTGAAAAAGTCAGATTTTTCAAAAGTGTTTCTTCACTATAATACTTAATTAGACATTTCAAATTGTTTTCGATTCATTGATTAATCGTTCATTTGAATTCCACTCGATTTAATTCAAACATATCGTTTAAATTATGATCTTCTATTCAGAAGATTGTATCACATAAAACGTCAAATAAAATAAACATTGACCGTATTAGAAACTATATCTACCATTTTATTTTCTATTCAATAAAAATAACGATAATTGTTGAGCTTTATAGACGAAGATTTTGAGATATTCTTTGAGTTCTATTATAATTCTGTAAATCACAACATAAAATAAATGTATGAATGATTAGAACATGAAAAATGTCGATAAATTATGACATGTTTAAAAATAAAATAGGCTAAATTAAACAATATCTCTCTGTCAACGACAACATTCTTGCAAACTGTAATTTTGACAGATGCTTCGATGGACAATCAATCTCCTCCAAAAACTACGAAATTCTCAGAAGATTTTTTTCGTCTGTAGAACTTAGTCGAGCTCGTCATGCTGGTAATTTTGGTAAGAAAATATTCCCATTCACTCAATTAATAATGATGCTAGGGTCAAAACACTTGAAAACGCCAACTATCATTTAGCAGCAATCAGAAATAGCTAAATCTTTTGAGTATTTTGCTACTAAAACCATGTTTTATTAAGTGAATTTAAATACTTTTTACTAAAATAATACCCTCAACGAATTTACAAAGTTCTATAGACGAAAAAGTGTTCCAAGAACTTCGTGTTTATTGTGGTTGACTACCCATAGACGCATCCATCCAAAAATATGATACGCAAGCATTTTGTCGTTGGTAGTTTTATCTGTCCTAGTCATATAACTGTTAACGGCGATATTTGATGTGTATCAATTGTCATCAGGATCGTCCATAAATAATCAACTATTTTGAATTATTAATAAAAATAGCAATAAAAATTCGAAATAAACATCAAAAATAATATTTCAATATGTCAGCATTGTGAATCTTTAGTTTGAATTTCGAACGATTGATATATATGAATACAAATCATATTTAGCATATTCACAAATAGAAAAAAAAGAAACTCAATTTACTAAAAGATGAAATAATGTGCAAAATTCTAAGTCATTATTGATTATTCTTGCTGTACATTGTCAACGATTCATTTTATAGAAGTTCTTTTTCTTTTATAGTAACAAAAAAATAACAAATTATTTATAAATGAACTACATTCAGGTATTTATAGTTCTTATATTTGTTCCAATAGTATAAGTATTAAACACCATCCATCGATTTAAATTCTAGATATTTCTGAAGTATATTATTAATATTCGATTCATCAAAAGGTTTTAATTCATCATTATTTTCAATTTCCATCCAACCATAAATTGGATCTTCATCATCTATATAATAATTTCCATTGTCAAATCTTAATCGTTCTCGACGAGCATAATCACCAGGCCAATAATGATATAAATTGTTTTGTTCAGTAATATAAACATAATCTGATGTTACATCAGTAATAATAGCAACATGACCATATGTCATTTTTTTACTACGACGATAAATAAGTAATGAATCTTTTTTTGGTAATTCTGAAGAACCATTCGGAACAGAATGCAGTGAAAAATGTTGACCGTCTGTAATTCGTTCGATATATGATAAATCAGTCCAAATATTAGATGCACATGGAATGTCTTTAAATGTACAGCTTTTACGCATCAACAACCATCGACGAGCGAATTCAACACATTGCCATTGATAACCAGTAAAAACTCCATAAACATAATGACGTTCACATCTAAAGTATTGACTTTTTTTATTTGAATAGGCCGGAACATTTGTTGATGCTATTCCTTCGATTTCATTGAAAGGAACACATGTGTTTACATTATTTGACATTATGTATCCTGTTTAAAATAAAGAAATAAATAAATAATATCATTGATATCGAATATTTCTAATCAGTTTTTTTTGTAAAATTTTCATCGTTATTAGATGAAAAATTGATAAATGCGCCATAATGTTTTTAGAATAGAAGACCTCTTGGTTTTTTTCTTTCAATCGAAAAAATGCTTTTGAAAATTTGATTTATATTTTTTTTTGTAACAACTAACTAAGTATAGAAAAAGGCACTTGTTATACATACGTTAAAAAAACAGTTAATAGTGATGTCTATTTGTTCGTTTACTTTTTCTCGATATTTTCCTTGTCCTACGTTACAGAGAAGTATCTGTTACGTAAGAAATTTGTTTTTAACAACAAGAAAACTTTGAAATAACGTTATATAAAGTTGAAACATATTCATTTTTTCTCTAAACAATATATCAAATATTGTTTAAATCATCTATATTCAATTGAGTATTGAAATATGTCGCCTCTGATGAAGTGTATAGAATTGATAAATCTCAACTTTTTACAAAAAAAAAGAAATTAATATATGCGGTTTTTTTCAATATGTTTATAAGGAAAGAACCTTCAATAAAAAATAAAATGAAGTAGTTGTTTGATAAATGATGCCATTGAACGAAAAAAAGTATTTTGAATTCTAATTTTTGAACGAAAAATTAAGAAAATGAAACCAGAAAAATCAAGAAATATTTCTAACACTTTATTCCGTTGATCATTGGAATGACTCTTTATAGAACGATTGCAGAACATAAACACATCATTGAATTTAAAAACAATACAAGCATTTTTCTAGTCAACTTCATGGGCTCTTCAATGGTAAAAAAGAAATCTTTTTTTCATCACTGCGTTTTTGAAAAAAAAATGAGCCTTCTCCAATTCGATAATTTTGAAAAAAGGAAAAAATCGAATTTTTCGAAACACTTCTGCGTAATACAAGTTCACGGAGAAACTCATTAGTGAGTAAGACATGTTTCGAAAATTTCAAGATAGTTTGGCGAGTTACACTTACTGAGACATACTATTGATCACAGATCTATTATTGGACAATTGAAGGACAATCAAGAACGAACTTAATATATGCATTATAAATCTCAACTCATGAGAAAATGAAATAGTACTTATATGAATAAAATATCTTTCGACTTTATAAAATGGCTAGAGTAAAGTAGACATTTATTTAATAAAATGTATCAAAAAAAAAACATATTTCTTTTTTGACATTAATTTCTATCGGTTCGCTTCGTTTGTTTCTCTATCACTACAATACATGGGATTGATGTTGCTTTTATCTACTCGATAATATAGCCAAAGAAAAGAAAATCAAGACTCAATATATCGTTTAATCGTTTTTCTCTACCATGCGGTTGTTAAACTAAATAAACGACTCTGCATTAAAAAAAAATAGTCACTCGGTAGATCAGACCATATCATTAGCATATTAGACAAGCTAATACTCTAT